CGAATCGGACTGCTGCTTCGCTGCCACAAATACACCTGTGTTCGGCGAGAACAGAGGCGGCAAGTCGAAGGGCAACACCAATGCGGATGTTCTGTGGGTCGAGGCGTGTGCCAAGGCTCGAGTTGGGAACAGCATACAGAAAGTCCCCTGCATGAGGATCCCTCACTGCCAGGAGGCGGGCTCTATCCTTCCCTGACACACTCTGAAGCACTATTGATGCTATATTTTCCACTATTGGACCGTCCCAGTGCGACTGTTTGTAGTTGTTGGGGGGAGCAGGTCTGGTTTCAGAGCCCGTTAGATTATCCCAGATCATGGCTCCGTCAATGAACTTTTGGTCCTGGACTCCAATCTTGTTATTAAGATGTTCAGGGAGAATTGCTGCTACAAGCCCTCTGGATACAATACACGAGGACAGAAAAGCAGGTAGCGCAGTCTGTGATGACTTGCGGACACCAATACCTCCTATTCTAACTGGAAGTGTAGCTTGGTTCCACTGCCCGTCTTCTAGAGTAAGGTTTAGTGACCCCCTATGATACACACAGTTTTCTTTATTGTCAGTAGACCAGAGTGATTAATATTATAGCCTAGAGCGTACACTGCCATGCAGTTTATACGCTCAGTTCCAACGGCTCCTGGAAATGTCATTTTTTATTCATTTAGGAGACTGTATTATATTTGTATGGTATTTATTGTATGTCTAATATAGTTATGGAGTATATATGATAGATAAATATATTAAATTGTCAAAATATGACATTTTGTAAAGCAATAAGTGACATGCTCTTTCCAGTAATACCATCTTCATCGTCATTGCTGGCTTCATCATGGTCTTCCTAGCTCCTCCCACTTTGTAAGTTTCAGGTACAGGTACACATAAATACGTTTACATAAATTGTCATACATAGCAGTATACGTGTGGAGAACCTGGGTTAACCCATAAAAGGCAGACAAAGTGACTTATTTCCAACTGGGTCCTTGTGATTATTATTATTTATATTTAATAGTTAAAAACAGGTAAGTATCTTAACTATGTAAAAGCAGTCACAATAAAAGAAGATATGCTAAGGGAGAGGTAAAATTAGTTATTTTTATATAAGAACTATCATCCCTTTCTGTAGACTTATTCATGAGGTACATTTTGGCTCCCTTCTTGAAGTGGCTCATGCTATGACAGGCTTTGACATGTGCAGGCAGTCCATTCCACTCCTTTATTGCTGAATAGAAAAATGCCTTTGAAGCCTGACCACTGACTCCAGGTATTGCAAAGTTGTTCATCCTTCCCCTAGTTTTGTAATTGTATTGGTTGCCAGCCTTCACAAACTAGCAGTAAGATATTGGGGACACTGGTTGTGACCAATTTTATGAATGTAATTTAGCTTTAATTGAGACACTTATGCAACACATGGGAATCTTTATTGAAGAAACGTTTCGCCACATAGTGGCTTCATCAGTCCAATACAAAGTAGAAATGGGTAAGGAGGGTAGAAGTTTGAGGTAATCAGTCCCTCAACCTGGAATCGATGAGGGACTGATTACCTCAAACTTCTACCCTCCTTACCCATTTCTACTTTGTATTGGACTGATGAAGCCACTATGTGGCGAAACGTTTCTTCAATAAAGATTCCCATGTGTTGCATAAGTGTCTCAATTCTTCAACTTGTCGGTTTTCAAAACCATTCATCACACACAATTTAGCTTTAGTTGATTTACTCTGTCTTCAACATTCAACATATCCAGTTGTTGTATTCATTCTGGCATATATGTTCTCTTGGACACAGGTCCAGAATGAATCTCATTATTTAAAGAGTAAGACACATAGGCAACAGTTAGGCAACATTATTCCGAAACGTTTCGCCTACACAGTATGATTCTTCAGTCGAGTACAGAAAGTAGGCAGGAACAGTAGAGATGTGAAGATGATGTAATCAGTCCATCACCCTTGAAGTCGTAGATTTGAGGTTGTCAGTCCCTCAGCCTGGAGAAGTTCAGTTCCATAGTCAGGAACTATCTGAAGATCAAGCGACAGTGCGGAGTCTTAAATGCTGTCGGAAGGAGAGGTGCAGAGTAGTAGTAGAAGTGAGAAAGCAGCCTCTGAGAGGTCAGGTCCCTCTCAGATCAAACAATTCTCACTCGAAAAAGTTGTCCAAGGTGTTTTCTGTACCAAGATGTGTTGCAGTGTCTGACAGGGTGAATATCAAAATGGTATACAATACCGACAGGTTGGTAGGTAAGACACATAGGCAACAGTTAGGCAACTTTATTCCGAAACGTTTCGCCTACACAGTAGGCTTCTTCAGTCGAATACAATACCTGTCGGTATTGTATACCATTTTGATATTCACCCTGTCACACTGCAACACAATGGCATCTTGACACAGAAAACACCTTGGACAAACTTTTTCGAGTGAGAATTGTTTGATCTGAGAGGGACCTGACCTCTCAGAGGCTGCTTTCTCACTTCTACTACTACTCTGCGCCTCTCCTTCCGACAGCATTTAAGACTCCGCACTGTCGCTTGATCTTCAGATAGTTCCTGACTATGGAACTGAACTTCTCCAGGCTGAGGGACTGACAACCTCAAATCTACGACTTCAAGG